TCTTGGGAAAGGCTGGGTCAGTGTCGGAGGGTTTCACCCTTTGCACTCCATTCCCTTCCAGGCTTTCTGAGGACAGTCCTTGTGCCTCTGGGGATCCTAGCTGACCACCAGAAAAGGGGACCAGCCAGCGCAAAGCTTCTCTCTTCAAAGACTGGGCTCCCTCACGGAGTGCCTTTTTTCAAACAAATTATTTTGGCCTGCATCCAACTGCCGAAGAACACTGTGTACTTACGCTGCCTTTAAAATCTTTCTCGAGAAAGGGAGTTGGCACACAGGGCCACGGATTGTGAGCACCGTTGTTGCCAGAGTGAAAGCAGAAGTGATCAGTAGAACATCACGTATCTACATATGGTCAAGAGATGGCTCTTTCCTCAAAAAGTGAACCTGTATGAACACTCTGGGTTTTTTTCTTCTCCTTTAAAAAATGCATTGAGCCGATTAATACCCTGTCAGTGGCCCCTAGAAAGCCTCTGGTGACTTTCCAGGAGAGGGCAGGTCAAGAGAAGGCAGGTAGGTCATCTGGTGCCTTGGCTGCTCGTGGGAGACGTTATTCTCCAAAACACGACCCCTGTGGGGAGAGGGGTCGGGGGAGAAGGGCCAGCCCTTGCCTTGTGCTGCTGATTGCTGCCACGTGTCGGTTATTTGCGTGCCTGTTTTGAGATTACTGTTTAAGACTGAGTAATTAGATTCACACAGGGGACTTCATAATCACTTAATTACCGATGTGCTTGGTGTATAATAATGTCAAAAGGTGTCTTGTCATTTTTATTTCGTGTTTTGTTCAGGTTTCCCTATGACTATGTTCCAAATGAAATGCTCTTCCAGAATGCTGTATTTCCTCTGTGATGGGTGCATGTTGTTTTGCAGTGAGCATAAATAAGATAAAAGCTCTCAAGTGATTAGCATGGAGAAAGCTCTGGGAAATGGAGGGAAGAGGGGAGGATCTAAAGGAGGGGTGGCAAGAATGAAAAGATGGAGTGGGATGTGATGGGGAGCAGAGAGAAGGGGTTGGAGGGAAGGGTGGGAAACAGGCGAGGAGAGACACAGACCGAGAGATACACGTAGAGAATCAGGTGGACAGATGCAAACAGACAGACAGAGATTAACCCACTATCAAAGAGAGAGAGAGAGAGAGATGAACAGGCACAGGCAGACCATAGGGCCTGGTCCTTTTTCTTATGAAATCCAAACATCCATCATCCTATTGATGATGCTTTTACCTGTTGGCTTCTTTCTGGCTCTAAAGTTCTATGACGTGTCTGTGTTTGCATGTGTGCAGACTGTGGAGGATGATGGTTCTTGGGAAGCTGAGATCTGAGAGCCACTGTAAGTAATTAGGAGCTCATTCTCTGTGGCCAGACCATCTGGGCTCGAATCCCAGCTCTGCCACCTACTTGCTAGGTGACCTGGGCAAGTTATATAATCTCCCTATGGCTCAGTTTCTTCTTCTTAAAATGGGTATAATGATAGTGTCTATCCCATAGGCTGCTGTGAGGCTTAAAGGAGACCGTGTATGCAAGTCTGTGAGAACACTGTACCCAACAAGTGTGGGCCAGAATTACTCCCATATTTGAAAAATGATCCTGGATCTTGTGGGACCAATTTTCCTTTGAAGGAATGTTCACAGAGCTGAGTGTATTTTTCTGAATACTGAGGCGGCTACATGTGCCTGCTGGGGCTTTTGGCATTGAACCTTATTGCTAGCTGAGGAGAGAGTGAAAAGAACGGACAGCGAGGAAGGAGTTGCAGCCTGTGGTCCTGCTCCAGCACCAACCAGCTATGAGTTTTCTTCGGATCTGCTCTCAGATTATAAACCCTAAGGGGTTCTTTCACTAGGTGATTGATATCGAGTCCTTTATGGCATGTGAGTTTTATGATTTGGCTATTATTTTACCTCTATGCAAAGATTTTATGGACTTAAGATTGGAAAGATTGGATATAAGTACCCTTGGAAGAAAGAAATGAATGTGCTGTGTTTTACTGTTGACCCTTGGAGTTTGAACTACATGGGTCCACTTACATGCAAATACTTTTCAGTAGTAAATACTCCAGTACTTACTAGATGATCTGTAGTTGGTTGAATCCTCAGATGCAGTGGAACTATGGGTCTGGAGGGCCAACTGCAAGTTATACGCAGACTAACCCCCGAGCTAGTGAAGGGTCAACCATAAATCAAGAGGGAGACATGCTGAGAATAGAGTCTAGTGTCCTAGAGCCCGTGCTGGTGGTGAGCCCATGAGGCTCAGCATTATTTCTTCCTCCTCCTCCTCCTCCTTTTTCTCCACCTTCCTCTCCTCCCCCCTCCCCTGGAGGAGGAAGAGCAATGTTTGAAAGGGTAACTACATCAAGATGTGCTATGGAATGTAGTATTACTCAGCCATAAAAAAGAATGAAATTCTGCCATTTGCAGCAACAGAGATGGACCTAGAGAATATTATCCTTAGTGAAATAAGTCAGACAGAGAAAGACAAATGCTGTGTATCACTTATATGTGGAATCTAAAAAATAATGCAAATGCATGTGTATGCAAAACTGAAACAGATTCACAGATACAGAAAACTTGTGGTTACCAAAGGGAGAGGGAAGGGGGGAGGGACCAATTAGGGGTATGGGATTAGCAGATACAAACTACCATATACAAAATAGATAAGCAAGAAGAATTTACTGTATAGCACAGGGGATTATACTCATTGTCTTGTAATAACCTATAATGGAGTATAAACTGCAAAAATGCTGATTCAGTATGCTGTACATCTGAAACTAACACAATGCTGTAAGCCAGCTATACTCAATTAAAAAAATAGAAAAAGATGTGCTGTGGAGCAAGACCTTAGTCTAGAGAAGGTAAACTTCTCTAAACTAGACTGCCAGGGGCTGGAGTACCAGGA